CATCTTCAAACTTAAATAATATCTATCAATCAGCCACATAGTCCAACAGGGGGGAGTATATTAATCTCCATAAGTTTAATATTTACTGCATCTTCTGAAAGTGACTCGACAATGGCTTAGTTTCAGAAAGTTTTAATATATCCATTCTGTAGATAGTTTCTACTGTGTATGCTTTAACATTTACATATTTTTCATAAAGAATTTCAAATCCATTCTAATCTATAATCGGGATATACTTATTTCTCTTCATATGTTATCTTGCTGTATCTGTCAATCACTAAATCTCCTACTCACTTGCTAAGCTAAAGCATCCTAAAAGGAGCCGTTATGATTGGATGCAAATTGTTTAACACATAGTAATTTCAAAAGTTTTTTTTATTATAACATGGACACAAATTTCATTTTGATTACCTCACAAATGACCTTTGGCCAAGACAAGAATTCACTAGAAAGAGAACTACACTGATATATTCATATGTATTAAGCAGTTTGTATCTGCCTAAGTCAGATAAACTAAGTACAGTTGCCACAACCACATTTTTGCTGCAAGTAATAATTACTCAGTAGAAATACCATTTTCAAAAGTACAAGAGTATTTTTAAAACAAAGAAAAAAGAAACCTAGCAGTTCTGCTTTATCAAGCATTTAATCAATTTAGTTAAAGACATTTTTACAATTATTTCACAAATTGAAAAAAAAAAAAAAAAAGATTTAAAAATACAATGATTTCTTGCTGCAAATATGTATTTGAATGGGTATATCATGTCAGCAGGAAAACTGGTAAAATATGTGTGTGTGTGTGTGTATATTGCATTGAGCATGAAACAGACTGTCATTTCTGTGTTGACTTCATTTATATATATATTTTTTATTTTTATATATATATATATATATATATATATATAATGGCTAAAATTATAGTCAAAAACTTAGATATAAAAAAAAAAAATATTCATATTCTTTTATATATAATTTAAGTCTTGAAAAAGAAAAAAAATTATAAGAACATATGAAAAATATGAAAATCTTAACCACAGCAACTTGTCAGTAGTTTTGAGGGATTGCTGCCCAAATACACTATGTGTGTGTGTGTGAAATTGAATGACAAAATGGTAAGAACTCCTATATGTTTAATTCCTAGAAAATAATCCTAGACAAGTAATAATTTTATTGATAAAATCAGTAATATATATATATATATATATATATATATATATATATATATATATATATATATATATATATATATATTCCTAGTGATGGAACATCATATTGTAATGTAGGTGTTTTTCTAATTTATATATATATATATATATATATATATATATATATATATATATATATATATATATATGACAGATAATAATTACTAGTAAAAATGGGGTCAGAGTATTTTCAATTAACTGGTCTTAAACTCACAATTATTTCTTCAAATAACTTACATTGAATGTAAAAATGTATATCATGCAATTCATGACACCCTGCTTGATCAAGGATTTGGATTTAAAGAAAATGGCCCAATTTTTCAGTTTATAGGTAAAACAAAAAAATAGAAAGATATGTACACAAATAATTTATGAAAAATTACAGTTAAATTTCCATAGACTATACTTGAAATATTTACACTTTAAAACTTACATTTAAAAAAGGAAAAATGTTAATAATTCTTCATTGATCAGGTAACATTTTAAACACTACATGTTCACAACACAAGAATAACTAAGATGATAATTCTTTTTTCATTATAATATTTCTACTTTTTTAGCTTTACACAAAATCCTGAAAGTATAAACTAAACAGAGGACTAGTTCTAGTTAAGTACAATTACAGGGAGCCAAATGAATCATTCCTTCAGGGTATGGTTAAATTAAATAAAACCCTCCTAAGTTTTAATAAATATACAAAAATGAATGCAGCTTTTTTATATAAGCTACAAGAGACCCCTAGACAACACTATCACTACTAAGAGTAAGACATTATCAACAGTATCATAAAAATTGAAGAGGAAATGTTAGTTGGGAACAGCCATTAATGCTGGACCCTGGATAGAGTCTTTACAATTCAAAAAGAAAATGGAATTAAATAAAATAACTGAATAAGGTTTACAGAATTTGTTTATGGGTTTTAGACTTTCGTTTTAAGTTTGGTCTTTAATGATGCTGCATGCAAAAGAAATGTGTGTGACGCACAGTGCAGGACATACGCATTTTTTTTTCCTGAAAGGCAGACACAGTACAAACGAACGGACCAAGAAGGATAGAGAAAGAAAGAAGAGTAAATATCTGGGACTATTGGGACTTTTGCCAGGGTCGGACATAACTAGTCATGTCCTATTATCTAAAACGCCGGCATATATGAAAAGAAGATACAAGCACCGATTACAGAGAAAAAAAAAAGAATGGAAAAAAAATATAATTGGAAATTAAAAATATTTAAATACATAAAGAATCCATGTTTTGTAAAAAGTGAAAATTGCACACCAGTGTCCACGTGACGGTAGCTGCACAAAAACCGTTTATTTTAAAAAATGATACATTTCAATTGTACTTGTACTACCGAGGCTTCATCTACCTGTTCACGGTCCATGGAAACGGTGGTCACTAGCATTGAGCATTGTGAAAACATTTAAAAAACAATAAAACGATATTTTAACAAAGAATACAAGTAACAAACTTGAGGCTTTAATAATTCTATTTCCCAATTTATTTTTACTTATATTTGTGCTGTTTTGTAAATTTGTATATGCATGACGAAAAAAAAAAATGACCACAGTGGGCGTGGGACGTGAAAGACTTGCCCAAGATTTATAAATGCCCGCCCCTAGGCAAGAAACCAAAACAGCTGATTAAATTAAAAAAGTGTGGATCACACAGAGTGAACAAGATTGTTCTTTTTTTCCGTTTTTATAGACAAAAAACCTAAACAAGTTTATGATAACCAATAGAAAATTGATTCTACGCCCTGGGCTTTATCATCATTTACGGGGGGTATGTTATGGGTGGAAGCATTATAGGGAGAAAATTGATTAAACTATCTTTTTGTTGCCTCTTACCAGGAAGCAAAGCTGTGATTGTGTATATTTTTTGTTTGTTTGTAAATGTGTCAAATTTACTTTTTTTATGAAAGGAAAACGCTTTTACTTTTTTTTTTTTTTTTGTTAGCTGATCGATTTTTAAAAAATTCCAATCGTTACAAATCGATTCTAATCAAAATCACAGCCATATTAAAAAAATAAAAATAAATGAAGTTTCACAAAAAAATATTCATTTTTTTTTTTAAACACTTTCCCATGGACCTTAATATATAAAAAGTGTAAAAAAAAAAAAAAATAAAAGACGTAAAATTCAAAACAATTATTAGAAATTATTAAAAATAAAATTTGAAAGTGTGTCGGTTAATGTGGCTTGTGGAATTTTATGCACACACACATATACACATACACTGTGCGTAACAAGTGTCTCATAAAAACTAAAAAGTAAACATTCATTTAAAGGTAAACACATTTTTTTTGGAGATACTTAATAATGGTAAATATCGCTGTGTCTATTCACGTCATTGTTTACCATTTATACACAAATCTGCCTAAATGCAAGCTTCATTATATGACTGACAAGGTGCTTTAATTTTTTTATAATTTCTCATATGATCTTATAATTTTTTTCTTTTCAGTAGATAAATTATACAATTAAACTTTAAAGAAAAAATTAAGATCATATGATAAATTATATAAAAAAACTTAAAGCACCTTCTTGTCCTTGTCTGTCATTTCTCATGTAACATGATGAGTATGTAAAACAACATCCTAGTTTTGTCTTTGTATCAAATTCAATCAAAGCGTATATTTCATTTAACGTGCGTATATATATATATATATATATATATATATATATATATATATATATACACACACACACACAAAGTCTTCCTTTCTCTTTCTTAAATCCACACTAAATTCTATCATATTATTGTGCGTTACACAACTTTCTTTATACATTATTAAATTTTTAACTCGTTATCAGCGACTATCAAATTTTTATATACAGTACGTACACCGTGTAGTAAGTATACAGGTACAATTAATTTGTGTACTTTTACTTTAAGTATAGTCAAGAAGTGTGAATGTGTGCAATTTCAATTATTAGTCATGATGTCGTGTTTGTTGTGCGACTAAAAAACAAATGACAGACATGACCAAAAAGTGAGATGCGTGTGAGTAACGCAGGTAAATTGCGCTTACTTATGAAAAGTTCTGTTGTTTATGATGAATTTAATATCGAAATATCGTACGCAATAAACTTTGGGAAAAAAAGAGAATAATTAAAACTTAAAAGTATCATTAAATAAAATAAAATTATTGTCTTAAATATAAAACACGATCCTGTTTTAGTAATTAACAGGAAAATTTAAATAACGACGGTTTCTTTAATAAAAATTAAAAAAATGGTTTGCGTGTCTAGTTTAAAAGACTTTCCTTTTTCGTAAACCTGATATTTTAAATCTTTTTTTTTATTATTATTAAACAAGGCTTATTTTTTATCAGAATATTGAGGACAGAAACAAAATAAAAGAATTTTAATTTAAAATTAGTCTTTTTTTAAAAGTACGAAAAACAAAACGACCGAAGAAAGTAAAAGAAAAGTGAAAATCGATTAACAAAATAATAATAATGGACTTGCGAATGGAAAGGTTTTTTTTGTTTTTGTTTTTGTTTTCGAGCTTGTTTACAAAAAAAAAAAAATTGAGATGATCAAACAAACAAAACAGACTTATTCTTGTTTCTTTTCTCAATATTTAAACTTTAAAACTTAAAAGCATTTCGAAATTAAAGCTAAAAAAAAAAAAAAACTGATTTTTACAATACATTCACTTTTCTTTCATTCTTTTTTTATTTCTTTTTTTAGTCTTCTTCACTGACCATAATATTCTTAGAAAGTTTTAAACAAACGATTTTTGTTTATTTATTATATATTTTTACAAAATAATGAAATCCGTGAACTTACCTAAAGAAGTCATCTTCTTGAAATTCACTTAGAATAGACCGTCCAAACATTTTTATTCAGCTGCAATTCGATTTCACAACTCAAAACTTGAGGAATCAAATATTATTATCTTTTTTTTTTTTTTAAATGTATGTTTATTATGCAAAAATTGATTAATTAGTTCTTCCGCTTTTTAATTTTCTTCAGAATTGGAATTGAGTTAAAAAAATAATAATGTACGATACTTATGGGGCGGGCTTGATTTTGGTAGGTGTTACTATTTGTTTGGATTTAAAAACACAATCAGGCACTAGGACAAGGAACCGTGCTGTGCAATGTTTGGTGAACAGAACAGCCAAATGCTGATAGAATAAACAATATTTTAATAATTGTATTTGATTATCTGGTGGTAAAATTAAGATCTGATTGTTGTTTTTGTTTTGTAAATATTGCTCCTGTCCTGCTGCCCTGTGTCAGTACCGTGGAGTGTAATTTGCTGTGGCTTGCCTTCCTCCTGCAACTACTAAACGCTTCTGCCTTCGCCGTCGGAAAAGCCGGAGTTTTTCCCTTTTATAGTAGCAGCGAAGTCGGAAAATAACGGAGATTACCGAAAGATTCCGATCAAACAGCGGCCACATCAAATTACCTTGGTAACGCCCCAAACATAGCCTTATACGGAATGTGACACCTGCGAAACAAACCAGGCCATTAGTCAATTCAAACGTAAATTTCAAATCTCAGCCAATCAAAATTTACATTTGTTGATTATCATAAAATCATTGAAAAAATAATAATATATATTTTTACTTTTGTTTTTTAAGATGAAACAAATTGAATTGTGAATAGAGTTCTTATTTTGCTAAAGGGAATGAGGTGTTGATAACAAAGTTAGAACCTTTCAATTTCATTGTTACACTTTGAGAAAACAGAAACACCAAGAATATACCATTTTTTTTTTTTTTTTTTTTTTGCATATCTATTTCTAACGAGATACCTATTTGTGCGTGGGTAATTCATGATGAAGCCATTTCATTGATTTGCTGAACTATTACACACAGACACACACACACAAAGGTTTGTTGCAGTTACACACGCAAAAATAATTATACATACATAACAGTAACACTAACAAACAGCTATGTGTGTATGTGTGTGTGTGCGTGTGTGTGTAAAATTTCGGGTATGAATATGAAAATATATCTATAAAAAAAAAAAAATAAATACAAAAGAAAAACTTTTCTTTACCATCATGTTTTTTTGTCCAGAAGGGACTTTATCAAATAAAGCAATATTTTTTTTCTTCCACTTTATTTCCGTTTATAAATATCTCTGTTGTAAAATAAAATTCTTACATTTACTTACCTTGATAAAGTCCCTCAGGTGAAAAAAAAAAAACAAGTTGGTAAAGAAAAGCTTTCCTTTTGTCTTTATATAAATATATACACATATATATATGTACACAAACATAGTGCTGGTGCAAGGCTCTTATATGATATGACCCCACTCTGATTCTATGATACAAAACCTCCACCACTCTACCACATCTCAATTTTCATATAAAATACAAATTTTATTGAAAGTTAATTATGTACAATAATGAATCCATTTTACATTCACTTACGTGCTAATACCTTTGGGAAATGTATGAATCCTCTTCTTCTCTCCCCCCTCCCCCAGCTATGGGTAAATAGCAGAACAGACTGGGTTCTATAGCCTTGGATGGCAACTGGCCTACCACAGAAAGAAATGGCAACCTACTGCAGGAAAAAATCTGCCTCATCAGTCATGTATCTTTTGATACATGATCACCTAAGCATGTATCACATATGGCACATAACTGACTGAATGGATCATATGCAATATAGGTGAACAATTCAACTAGAAAAATTGAAAATAAATACAATGTATCTAATAAATACATTATAACAAATCATTCCATCTTAAATAAATCAACAATGTTTTGCAGTAAATTTCAACATCAACTTGAAATTTTCCTTGTTAATAATTTTAACACATTCAACATTATAGATAAAAAAAATATTGAATTTTATATAGTGTTTTTTTTAAACTTAGCATGAACCAAATAAATTCACAGTTTTACAAAAAAAAAGGGCCCCAGAATGACATCAAAATCTGCAAAAGTTTTTCATCCTTTTAAATAGTCAGTTGTGCTTAGTTTAATTTGTAACATATATAAATGTAGGTAGAAAAAAGCAAATGTTGATAAGATAGCAAGGGGGGGGTCACAAAGCACTATCTGGGGGTCCTTGGTCAGGATGTTTGGGAGAATAAACACATCATATGTGTGTTAGAAGGACAGAATCTGAACAAAAGTGGAGAAAGGAAACAAAGTAGAAATGCTTTTTCAACTTTATTCCTGGAGGCCATAACGCAACATATCATACCATTTTGGAATCAGACCAACTCCGTGAGCAAATTAAAAACATTCCAGGCTAGATCTAGACCTGCAATCCTGAAATTTTGGATACCCAAGTTTTCATTACAGTGACTGTTTTGGATTCCAGTCTTGGCTTCTACTGATAAAAACAATTAAAGGGACACAACTCTCTAACTTTCAATAGCTCATGTTCAAATGAAGAATTACTGTTCTCAAATTACAGTGTTTCAAAATAAAATTGCACATGTTTTCAACTTTACTCTTACAGGCCATAGCCCAACATACCATACCAATTTGGAATCAGGCTGACTCTGTGAGCAAATAAAAAACATTACAGGTCGGATCTGGATACGCAATCCTGTGATGGTTTTTGTTGATTTTTTTTGTGATGTTTTTGCACCAAATTATTTCTATGATAACAATTTTTATAACTTGGAAATAAACTTGGAAATAATTAATTGTGAAATCTAGCAAAAGTCATCCATGGAATAAAAATAATTGTTTGTATGGAAAGTAAGGACCTACATATATTAAATTATCTTTAAATTAAGTGACGGCAGAAGAATTATCATTGGACTTTTAAAAGGTAAGCTTAAATATTAATGCAATACTTAAATGCAGCGATCAATTTTGAGTTCTTCCGCAGTTTATTGTTGCCTTTCACATCTACTCCATCCCTACTCATTGTGATGAAGGCCAAATCAAATTACACCCTCCACAGGAGCTAGCTTAAATGCCACCTGATAGCAATGGCTTTTAAGCTAGTATATATATATATATATATATATATATATATATATATATATATATAAGTATAAGTATAGCAGTTTGTGACTGGTTGAATTCATTCCAAGGAGTATATTAATATATATATATGAAAGAAAAACAAAAACCGTTGATGGAACCAATGGACAACTTACTAGAGCATAAAATGCTTATCCAGACGGCTTCTCAAATAAAAACAATAATAAAAGAAAGAGAGAAAAAAGGCCTAATGACAAACTTACCTATGAATATATAATATCGCATATTGAGTGCTACTGTTAGTAAAATAGTGCTCAATGTAGAATAACAGAGCTATAATATACATTTTCTTTCCTGACCGGTAATACAACTCTGAGTTTCATGCACAACACAATCTTCAAGTACTGATTGATAACTAACCATTACATAATTTTAATTTTGATATATATATTAAACTATATATCAATATTTAAATTATACAAACTTTATTTTCTTACCAGGAACCTGAACAAATTTTTAAGCAATTTCTTATTATTTCTTTATAGATATATATTTTAGGAAAATCTATAACAAAGTGGAAAAATTTTTTTCATATGATGCATTTCTTCCTTTAGGACTTCATCAGACTAAAACAATGTTTATGCTGATGTGATTAAATATGTGCATGAAGGAGAGCGGGGACATGTTTTGAGTATATCATGTAGATGAGTTTATTTTGTTTCTATTTCTTTTTGTTTATGCTTTTATCACTTTTGTTATTAAATACACTACACTGTGATAATAGAAAATCTGCCAAGAAATATGATATGCCCAGAAACAGCAGATTTTTAAATGGCTAGATTATATATCCAAAACACATATGTAAAAAAATTTAAATTTAAAAATTCATATTAAAAATTTCAGCATTCACTCTCCTTCATGTGCACGTGAAATCATTTTAACATAAACATTACTTTACTCTAATGAACTGCCAAAGGCTGGAACACGTCACATGAAAAAATTTCCACTTTGTCATAGATTTTCTTAAAATTGTTCTTGATATATAAAGATTTATATATTGTTTACATGTAGGTAAATATATTCATAAACTCTGTGTATTTCATCAACAAAAGCTTATTCAAATATTTTTTATGGAAGAAAACAGACAAGTTATAATTTTTATAACTATTAAATATGTTTTTCTTGCTGATGGATTAGTTTCTGTATTTTGGTGTTGAAGGTGCAAAGTTCATGTAAATTCTTGTAATGGTTCCAAACTTTCAAATAGCTCCAGTCATTATCAAGAAAAGAATTAGATGAAATTCAAAATCTGGGTGATTGTTTGCATCTTTGAAATAATTTTCAGTTTTTTTTTTTTTTTGTCATATGGATGTGATGTTATTTCTTTGAGTTTTGTGGTGTTATAGGGTTAGATAATGTTAATTCTGAGTACATATATATATCTATCTATCTATCTATCTATATATATATTCTGATTCATATATAATTTCCTCCCATACAAACATATATATATATATATCTGTAAAAAAAATGTTAGAAAAATTAATGACAAAATAGAGAAAAATAGGTTTAAGAATTCAGTATCCTCCCCACCTTCATTAGCATGTGTAGTCACATCAACAGAAATATCACTTTAGTCCAATGAAGCCACACAAAGAATTTTTGCCACTTTAATTTTCCTTATATATATATATATATATATATAAACAAACTATAGCAAATATATATATATATAAACAAACTATAGCAAAAATTGTAAAATTAGCACATATAAAAGATGTTAACTTAGTTTATTTACTGCTAAATAAAAACATAAGCCATATAAGATGGAAAGCGCTTTTTTTATATAATATATATATATATATATATATATATATATATATATATATATATATAAAACAAACTATAGCAAATATATATATATATAAA